TGTGTGTGTGTACTTGAATGGGTTAAATGCAGAGCACAAATTCTGAGTATGGGACACCCTACTTGGCCTCATGTCCTTTCCTTTCCTGTCCTTATAATGATTAATCCAAGACATTTGATCCAAAGGTCATGTCATACATCTTTATTGATGAAACTAAAGACAGCATTCATGGCTGCTTTAGTTAGCTGCAATGGTCTGGTCAATCCAGGCACGGAGCTTGGTGACACGGGCGTAGACAGCAGGGGTGGAAGTGGAGCAGGTGCTGCTTCCCCAGGACACAATACCAACGAGAGTCCAGATTCCGTTCTTCTCACAGACCAGAGGACCACCAGAATCACCCTGGAAGACACAAAGTAGAGTTTGTAATCAAAATTTACTGACACATGTAAGAAGAAATTTTTAAAAACTATCGTATATTTATTCAGGACAGCTCACCATGCAAGAGGAGACACCAGAGGCTCCAGCACAGATCATTATATCAGTGATGTTGCTTCCCCAGTAACCCTTGCAGTCGTCATTGGTCAGCAGAGGTAGAGTGGCCTGCTGGAGCAGGGCAGGGGTATCAGGAGCTGAAAACACAGATTGGCAGAATTTTAAAAGAAAATAAATCAGGACAGATCCAATTCAGGCTAAACTACAAAAATATTAACAAAAAAACTTTGAAAATAAATGCAAAATGATAAAAATGCTGAAAAGAAATAGGATTCTGAAACTCACCATTGTACCTGGTCAGGCCCCATCCAGAGGTCACACACTTCATGCCTCCAGGGAAGTTGTCGGAGGTTTCAGCAAGACACACGGGAGACACATGAATGTTGAGCTGAGCGGGGGTGGCCAGCTTGATCAGGAGGATGTCGTTGTTGATGGTGAAGCTGTTGTAGTTAGGGTGCTTGATGGACTGTGGGAAAAGGATACAGACACGTAAGCATTCAGATCTTCAAGTAGCAATCATCTGTGGGAACGCTCTCTTCAGTTTCCTGTTAAAAGACTGTCTCCAGTGATTCAGGTATGATACACTAGTGCTGAAGCACTTTTTAACAGTGGTGAATCTGCTGCTGAACCTTCAGCGAAAAGAAATCAAGAATATGATACAAACACCTTTTGTTCTGTGTTCTGCAATGGCTTTCACTAGATGGTTCTCTTAATGAATAGTTCAAAAAGGTTCCGGTTTACAGATATAGTTTTACTGAACTATATCGATTAGATCCGTTAGTGAATCAACACCTGACTTACATACTTACTGAACTGCAAGTTGTCATTATTAGGGGCCAAGCACTGAAGGTGCTGTAGCCCATATTGTTATTGGTAGGAGTCTATGAACTGTAGATAGAAAAATCATGAAATTTGGTACACTGATTGAAGTAGTCCTGGACAGTAATTTTGAATATTTTCAGAGATGTCGAGCGAATGAAGATTGTTTTGTGTGAGCATCATTACTCACTGATTGTCCATGATGTGCTGTTAAAGATACACATTTTTTTGTATAGTTTTTTATTAATTGATTAAATTATTTTGCTATATATTTATGTAGTGAATTTGGATGGAGGCTCTTTCTGTAGGAAATGATACTCAGGATAACGGATTTTGAGAGTCTACACACCTTTCCAACACTAATGGTCTGAATGGCCTCAGCATTAGATGAGCGATCATGCTCACCCAGGATGACACGGTGAGAGGTTCTGTAAAAAAAAAAAAAAAAAAAATGAAATAGGCTAATAAAAATTTTATAACCCAAAATCCTTTAAAAGTTTACAAATCACATTAGATTCCTACAGGCTAAACAATGTGAAGTTACAGGTTTAGTCTTTAATACTGTGTTACCTGACATCGCAGTGAGCAGCAGTCACAACCCACAACTCATTGATCAGGGAGCCACCGCAGAAGTGGAAGCCAGTGGAGTCCTGTAATAAGTTTAAAATGATGTAATAATTTAATAAACCTTTTGAGTTAGCATTTAAAAGCTATTGTTATTGACACAGATTTTACCTGCAATGACACCTGCCAGGGCCAGGAGTGAGGCCGTGCCTCCTCACCATTCACAATCCTGGAGTAGCCAGTAATAACAGGGGGGATGGCAGGAACGCCACAGCCTGACAGAGCAAAGAAAATAGAACGAAAGCTGTTTAACAAATTCATGTGTTCTAAGGAATATTTAGTTAGCCAGGCTTAAAGTCTGCTATTAGAGTATCTTATTATTAAAAATAAAAAACAGGAACGTACCATAGGCTGCACCAAAGAAGGCGAGACAGGAGAGGATCCACAAGAAGGCCATTGCTGCACTTGAATGTTGTCTGCTCCTTTGAGGGCTTTATATATTCTGTCCTCATTCATATGCTGGACATCTTATCTTGCCACTGTGGGATATTGTGCACCTTGCAAGCGAGGTTTTTTTTTCCATCCCTGCCAAAGATAATGCCTCCTCCATCTAGTTGCTTTAAATCAACTTTTTAATTTAAGTCTTTCAGCTGTGAATTCCATTTACATTTATGCATTTGACAGCAACTAAAACTGCACTGAAAGTAATCATTTCATCAGTTCATTCCCTGGGAGTCAAACCCTTAACCTTGTCATTGCTAGCACAGTACTGTTGGACCTACAGAAATACTACCAAATACCTATTAAACACTGGATGCCGCTAATTCTCCCAGATTCACAGTGACTGAAAATCGCTCTAATACTGTGAAATACATTTCTTAGAAAGACTGTACTAGAAAGACTGATAACCTCAATTTTATATGAATAATTATAGTTGATAATACTTGTGTGGTGGAAATGGCCGCGAGTTTCGTTATTTTGTGTAATATCCTCTGTTAATTAGATTGCACAAAAAAAAAGCTTCCTGTACGGTTAATTGGAGGATTTTATATTTTGCATCTGTCAAATAAGCTTATTGAATGAATTCAGCTCTCTTGAATTTTTGTTGCGTAACAAAAGTCATCGTGTCGTGTTTACTGCAGTAACCCTGACCCGATTAGTTGTATTTCCATACACACTGATAAAGTGTGTTCTCGGTTTCAAGGCCTCTGTGTCCACATCTGCACTGATTCCCAGGTCCTGTAAATCTCTTCACATAGCCTATTACCTATATGTACATCAGTGCAGCTATATTTACTGTAAATGCACGTATTCACAGTAGCTGCATTCTACAACTAATATACTTTGTACTGGATATCAAATATTCCAAAATCCTAATATTATGACATTTTATTAAAAGAGGAACCAAGCTTGGTGGACTATTTTTTTATTAATTTGACATTTTGTATTCATATTCATTGTATTCATATTTATTCATGTGGTGCTCATTTCCATTAATAGAGATTTGAATGGAATTGAAATGAAATGCAGCAGTGACATTAGGAATTCATTCCAAGGATGCATGCAATATTGCTTAGAAAAGTTGAAATTTGAAATGGAGAGTGGAGAGATTGTGAATCCCATTAAATTATCCTTTTTTCCAATGTTTTAAGATTGATTGGATTAACAATGGTGTTATAAC